AAATTGCACACTCAAGTTTGGTCCCTGCATCTGGATCTGATCTGAATATGAGACCACCAAAAATGCATAAAAGAAAAGTAAAAGAAAAATGTGTGCAATGAATCTCTCTAGAATGAGAAACACTTGCTTTGAAGTGAACTCAAAAACATGTCTTAAGCACATTTACTGTATTTTTACGTCAGCACAGAAGCATACATGAGCAAGTAAAGGAGGAAAAACCATCAAAGAGAATTCTCTGGAGGGCCAAGTCCATCCAACACACACACACACACACACACACACACACACACACACACACACACACACACACACACACACACACACACACACACACACACACACACACTAACATAAATCCCTCTATCCCAGCAGGGGGGCCATGCTCTGAAGCTGTGCAGATCATGTAGATTCCCTGCTCCCCACAGCTGTAACAACATATGGAGCTACGTTTGCCAGCCAACGTGGAGCATGTCATTAAACAGCATTATTAAAATCTAGTACAACAGCAGGGTGTCAATGAGAGGCTCGGCTGGCGGAGGCTGATTGCTTCATTAATTATGTTTTTTTTTGTCAACAATTTGTTTCATGGGAAGTGCTTGCTGTCAGTTTGGCATTTTTGTGTAAGAGGTTAGATGATGAATATGTTTTTTTTCATCTCAAAATTGACTAATTAGGTTTAGGGGTGTGGGAGGTTTGTATGTGTTTGTGTATTGTAATGTGGTACAATCGGGGCAGCAGGTGGAACAGCAGGTAGTCGCATCAAAGTCGTTTGTGTCACACTAATGCAAACATGCCAAACCTACATGGCGCTCTAATGGTTCGAGAGAGTAATGCTGAACTGAAAAGTTGCAGGTTTAATCCAAACCAGCTACATTACCCATTTGTGCAGATGTGCCCTTGAGCAAGAGAGCTTGTAGCTGTACATTTGTTACAAGGATAAAATCCAAGGAAAGAGGATGAAAGCATGTGCCACTTAATAATTGTTCATCAAATTGAAGTATAATATGAAGGGATAATGTCAATCTAGTTCCAAGAAATAAAGCTGAGAAGATAATTTACCCATAGTACCTCACACAACAACATTAAGGGTGACAGAGATAGGAAAATGGTTACAGTCAGAAAAACCAGGGAAGAGGGTGGAAGATGGGGTAAAGGCTGGTGACGGGGAAGAAGAGGTGGCTGTAGCACAGATTGCAGGGTGGTTCGGCCATATAGTAAGGTTGTTAGTTCGATCCCCAGCTCCTGTCTATCTCTGACATAGAGTCAGTCCCCCAGAATATTCCTCATGACAAAAGCATATTCCAAATCAATGTAAAAAAGGAGGTTAATACTTTGAAAGGGACTGCTTTTGACAGCATTTTTTAGACATAGGTTTACATAGGTTATTTTTCCACAACTGGGTGTTGAACAGATTCTTACCATAACACGCTTAGGAATTAAAAAAAGAAGGTAAAATTAATAAGGAACTACAGATCCAAGAAAAATACTGTATATCCAAAGTGACTCTTTTCAAACACTGGATTACGATTAAATATTGCTGTGCTCCAGTAGTAATTGTATTATTTTACCATATGATTAATTTGTGATCTTCCCTTGATTTCGAGGTTTTAAAAAAAACAACATTCTTTTTGGATTCATCTCTTGATTTTCCTCAGTGGATGAACTGCAATGACCTGAGCACTTCAGGTTGTCAACTCTCTTTGTAGAAAGATCCTGCACTCAGTCTCGCAGTAAAATTGTCCTCTGTTCCCTCTCCAGCACTCAAAAGATTTATATGTTACTCGAATTAAATTAGGATAGAGTGAACCTGCCTCCCTGCATGTGTTGAGTGGGTAGTAATCTATGTTGAAATGTCTGTTGGAGTCATTTGGCTCAGTGTCCATAGTCCTTTAATGGGTGGAAGAGATTCCCTCTAGATTGATGTGATAGATGGAAGCCATTACAGGTCCACCAATTACTGCTGGGTTATGGAGACGGAGACAGCAACACAATGCAGAGAGTGTAAAGACAGCGTGCATGAAGTGAGACAAAAATCTTAATCACAGTCAGTTTAATTGGAAACAACGGTTGCACTAATTGTACAGCAATTTGTCTCTGTGACACTGGTGCAGGGACACTTTCACCCTGACACCCTGGTACAAGGAGAACAGGTCCACAAATGGATAGTAGACAACAAGCATTGTGCGCAACTCTAGATTACATCAAGTACTCTACAGCTGTGTGCACTGAAGAAATACTTTAGAATACAGAAAGTGTGGTTTAAGACTGTATTGTGTCTGTTTCTGTCACATTTTGCTAAACAGCAAGGCCAGTTCTGCACTGTGTAGTACTGAGTCGATATCACCAGCAAGCCAGTTTTCAGCGTTAGCTTCTCTCTCACTGTGAATATACATTACTGTCAGATAATGAACCTCCATACCGACAGTCAGGGAACAAAATTCGAATCAGCCACCAGCCAAATGCTGCTATAAGATGCCTTTTACCCTACTTTATACATTTCTGATGATGAACCATTTACAGTGACAGATAATGACAGCACGCTATCCTCCAGAAATGTCAGCACCCCCCCAGAGTAAACCAATCCAAATTGTGAATTTATTATTATCTCATTCAATTTTTGATATTGTTACATAATCCAGCTGCTGTTCATGTTCATTTAATGTTAACATAATATGTTGATAACAGAATCTATGGTGATCCTTCCTGCACTCTGAACACCTTTCTGCCTTTCTTTCTCTCCCTCTCATTCCCTCTTCAGACTTCAGGATCCCTCCTCTACCCCCTCTATCCCTGTCACAACAGTTACATTCACTGTCCTTTGTGGCGCAAGAAGAGAAGAGAGGTGCCAGCATTTTATTCACTTAGATCTATTGAGTTTGACAACATCAGACAGCCTGAACTTTGACCTCTCTCACTCTGACAAGAAACGTGTATGAATCCCACGTTATAGAGGAGAAAAACTTCAAGTCCTTGACAGATATGATAGAATAGAAGTGGGAAGAGGGGTGGTGGGCGGGGGTTGAGGGAGTAAAGGAAAGATGTTTGACAGAATAAGAGCATACCTGGGGAGTGTGTGCAGCTTATGAACAGATGCCTGCTGCATTTCAGAATAGTGCTGCTTGCTGAAAGATCAGGAGTAAATTTCAAAAGGAGGTTAGAGGAGGTCAAATATATATTCATTCTAAAAAAAAAAAAAAAGGTTGAGTTGAAATGAACTGAAACTGTAGAGCTCCATCCTGAGTTGCTAGAGTATAGGTGACCTTTGCTTTGACCTTATCAATGCGACCACAATTTAAACTTGACTAATGCATTTGCTTGCAGCTGAATAAGATGGATCGAATAAATAAAACGGTGAGAAAGATGTGCTGTTGTCTTGTCTTCCCAAACATTGTCTGAGTGGTTCTGGCATTAATCCTCTGACTAATAAAATTAAATCACATTAGGTCAATTAATTATTATTATTATTATTATTATTATTATTATTATTATTATTATTATTTGAGTTTTTAACCTCCCAACTTACTGCTGTGATCTCAACCTGGATGCCTAAATGTGACCGTTTAGCTAATTTGAACCAGATGATTTACAGGCTTTTCGTTTAGTTCTCGAAAGAACAACAGAGGCTGTAAATATTAATTCAAAAAAGGATGTTTTTGCATTTCATGAACCCCAACCAAAATCATCTCTCATCTCCCGAGGTGTCCTGACCCTGGGACAAGAACAAAAGCAGTGAATGAATCATGAGTTTTTGATGAATATTACAAAAATGACTATAATTTAACAACAGGAGACAAACATTTGCATTGCTGTCTCACATGATAATAGTCCTCTTATGAAAAATAACAATCTAATAAGATGCAAACATGGAAAGAGAATATTAACAACCCACTAGTGCTCACAGCAATACCTCCTGATCTTGATTCATAATCCAGCCAGGTGTCCTGTCAGTACATGAATATTCAATAAATACAACACAACCCCCAAACCTCTGGTGACGGTTTAATTTTGGTCACTGTGAATGCTGGATAGACTGATTTTAGCATTATAAGTGAGTACTTTATTAGTCTCAGTGGGAAATTGCAGCAAAGTACGGCTATAATGATGTTTAAAAAAGTTAATAATTGACAGACATAAAATGAAAATATTAGATTTGAAAGGGGCGTTTCCAGACTTTTTTGATTAGGGTGACACAAGGGGGGCAATGACTTAGGCAAGGGTGGCATGAAGTATGTGTCTCTGTTTTCATTCCCAAAGTATGTAATTTCACTGTTTATGGACCCTCGGTATGGAGAGAGGGACACTAGCTGAAAATAACAAATTTTTACCACATGCCCCAAACTGCATGTTTCTTCTTCAAACTGCATGGGATTAGCATAGATTGGCCAGTGCCACCTGTTTCCAGGATAACTGAACTGCTTGCTTGCACTTCAGCTCATGAACTTTTCCTGCCTGGGCATTAATACCCTGCTATAGAAACATTTGGGAAAGTAAGTCAAGATACATTTCTGAAACATGATTTGACAGTACAAGCATATCTTTTGAATAAACTGTGTGAACCTACTGTCACATTGCACAGTGAAATTAAGATTAATCCTGTGAACAAAACAGATGACCAAGCACCCTCTATTAAAATGTATTATTTCTCTGAAGGCAGCAGTTTTACTCCCACTTTCTAATTCTAATAAAGGTTACAATTCAGATAGAAAAATATTTAGATATCTTTATACTGACACATATTGTGGTCAAACTTTGCGATATTGAGTCTAGAAATTCTGTTTCTAGTCTCTCAAAAAGTAGAACACATAATGAACATGAGGTTTAATTCGGCTGAAGTGACTCTAGGTGCAAGTTTACCTCCCATTTCATCTCTGAATCGGGGGAAACCCGTCGATGAAAACCACCTGACAGCTCGTTGGACCGCCCACTCCCCCTCTGCCCGGCCCCACCTGCATGTGTCCACACCGCTTGCTGATGGTGATTCACCGACAGAGGTTTTTCTTTTTTGGAGGCGAGAGCTAAAGACTAGAAGCTCCTCATCCAGCGGCTGCCCCGCGCTGATTCGGCCGGTATTCTGCACCTCTCGTCCAGCGGCACATCTCCGCCTCCTCTCTGGGGCTTGTTCGGGTAGCCGGGCGAGAAAAACGGAGAGATGCGCGCAGGGTCCTTGAACGCCACAAAGAAGTTCCCGAGGCTGACAGAAAGAGGACTCTCCTGTTGATTCAGCTCTTCTTTCCACCCCGCACATTTCAGGAATATTCCAGGAGAACACTTCTCACCTCTATATGGCAAAGTTCCTGGCTGAATTACTGGGATGCACACTTCCAGACAAGGGCACTCCACCTTTGTTCGAGGTAAGGATGCCTATAAATGCACTTAACAAACCATGCAACGTTATAGTGCGTGAATGTATGGTCTGACACTCAAATCTAATACCAATACTGAGTTTGTATCCATGCATAAAAAGGTACAGGCTGTCTGTTCACCCCGTGAGTTCTCTATGGCAACAGGAGGCTGAGGCTTTGTTCATCAATATGATTGACAGTTGCTATGCTGTAAAGCACTTCATTAACAGTGATCCCTGCGGGTTCAGGTTTTAAACTGCCTCTGCTGCAGTGCTCTGTGCACGCTCACCGTTTCATACGGTGACAAGATATTTATCCTGCGAGCTGCAGGCTGCAGATTAACGCGCATTATTTGCGTCTTTACGCTCACCGAAAATCACTGTAATATTCCTAAAATATCAGCTTATGGTTTATCTCTGCTGCTCATAATGAGTTTGTAATGACCTTGTCTTACTTTGTGTGGTGTTGTTTTTTAATCTCCTACCCTGTCGCTTTGCTGCAGTTGTAGTGGGATCTTTTTTCCCGTGATATTTGCAGAGTATCCTGCCAAAACATATTTTAGGATGATTATAGACACCGTGGTGATTTTCAGCTGTAAGTCGAGCTGCATGTGGTGCCAGCAAGCGGTGTTTAGTAAGAAGTGGCTGAGACTCAAATGCTGCTCCTATTTGGGTCAGTGTGCCACACACACGCACGCACGCCCCCCCCCCACACACAGCACCTGTACTGCCGTGTCTGTGCCTGAGGACCGTTCACATATTTTCAGCTCTACATGGATTGATAGATAAATCTGTTGTGAAAAAACTGGGGGAGTTTTTTTTGTCTTCTTTCAAATGCTTCTCTGTGCCATCTAATTGGAGTGAAAGGACTGAACCAGTGTAATGAGTAGTTAGATAATGGATTGAATTGTGAATTATTCACCAAGTAAACATACCAATAATTTGCTGGTCACATCTTAAATTAGATTTCCTGACTAGAGGTGTTCAGTACAGGTGCGAATAAATCTTTATCAACAAATGCAATCATCTAATGTTCGAACTGCTGAAGTGCCTTTGAACCATGATGCGACCACTTAGCTTTACAGATGTTCCAATTAGTGATTGACCGATTAATCGCTCAGCCGATAATCTGCCATTTTAAGATAATGCCTATGCTCACCAGGCCGATAAACAGAAATGTCTGCAGCCTTGTCAGTGTGGCTGCTGTAGAACAATGTTAGCGCTCCTCTTGAGAGTTTTGGGAAGGTGGTGAAAAAGTTGGTTTCAAGCCCTGTACTATAACTCTCATGCATCCTACCTTAAACATCGAATTTCCTCTAGAAGAGAATAGAATTATACATGACTTTTCTTTGTTTTGATATCGGGATTATGCATTGGCCATCAGCTGAGAGTAGGTTGGGTCATAACTTCGCCATCCTGGGAAAGAATACGATGAATGGAACACTGCTGGGAAGTAGCCAGTGTCCAGTTTTTCGGCACTAATAAATGAAGTGGTATCGGATCACAGACTCACAGATTCCCATTTCTGCAGTATTTAGGCAGTATCTGAGGAATTTACGATTCTGGTATGAGAACACTTAGTTTCGTGAAAAACAAGTAAACAAGCTACATAGTCAGTGACTACAAATCTTTGAACTGAACTGAACTGAACAAAGATATTCGAATCATAGTATAGATGATGATGAAGAAGATGTTTTGGGTCACTAAAATTGCATTTTTATTTATTTCTTGGTTAACAACTCTCTGTCAAGCTAAGAAATATATTAATTTAGATATTTAATCAATTCATGCATATACAGGTCAAAATCAAAGATTATTGTTGCCCAAAAAGAAGTAACATGGATAAATGGGGATGATGGGACACCGGAAATAAACAGATGTCCGACTCTTTTGATGAAAATATTACCAAAAGGAACTACAGTTCATCTTTGTGTCTGATATTGTCTATGTTTAAAACGGGACTTGACAGCCATTGCATAACACTAGCTCTAAATGAAAAACTGTTTTGGATTTATTCTCATCACAACGGCCGTAATCCACCACCACCACCACCGCAGGATTGTTAATCTATCACGCATCATCTCAATCTGCCTAACACACACTGTGTGTGAGTCACGTATTAAAATCACCTCAGAAATGTGTCAGAGAGGATCATCATAGTAACTTCTGGGAAAATGAAATGATGACCTGCTCTGTTCGGCTTTACAGGGGACAAAGATTAGATTCGCAGACCGTTATATAAAGCCTTTCTTCCAATTCCACCTTTAAACATGAATATATTGAATAGGTGCACTGCTGAATGCACACCGAACACTGAAGGCAGCACAGTTTTAGTGCTAACTGAGTTTCTTGGGGGGGGGATGCATAAAAGAGATGTTACAAATAATAGTTTATTAAGATATTTTCAAAATAAGGTTTTTAATGCCATCATCAGACAAGACAGAGGGCAGTTAGTGAGTATGTGATGTTGATGATCGTGATGGTTGCTAATTCCTCTCCTTAGCCTAAGGGAAATGCTAAATCCTTACCTTTCATAGGCATTTATGATAGTCAATCCTTGTGAAATGATGGTTCTTTATTCACAAATTAGAGTTGACTTCTTTTTTATCAACTAGAGACTCAGATTACAGCTGTTGCAGGATGAACATGGTGTTTAATGTAGTTGGCCGTGCTGTTTTGCTGTTAGAATGCAGTTAAATTGTGGTAAATGTGTGAGGCATCTGCAGGCACTTTAAGTCCCCAAAAGAGAAATCTGAGGCTTTTTGAAGGGAAAAAATCAGTAACAAAGTTTATTTACAATTTACTTTTCACATTATCATTTCTAAATCAAAACTGTCATGCCTTTAAATGCACGTAGCATCCTGTAGTCTAAAATGGAAGCTTTTGTTTCACCAAACTCAGTCTTTAATTCGTTATTACCAACTTTGCCCTCCATCTCTCCTCCTCTGCATGTCTTTGTCTTGCTCCAACTTTCTTCTTTGCACTTTGCCACATCTCTCCTTTCAGGTTCCTTCTCTCTCTGCTGCAAACTCGTCATTCACTCACATACCTACGTCTGTCATTGCTGGCAGGCCTTCTCTCTCTCTTTATTCCCCGTAGCCTTTAAAGCAAAGCTTTATTCATGGCAGGGAGCTTCTTTTTCAAGCGATATGCGGTTTGCAAAAGGCAAAGAAAAAGATTAACATTACTGTACTCTCAAGGCCGGTCTGTTTGTTTGAAAAGATTCCTACGCAAATTTTACAAAAATCCAAAGAAGTGGTTTTCAGGGGAGGAAAGTTTTAGAAAATTGTATTGTATGCACTGTGGGTTGCCATGGTAAGCTGTTGAGTACAACATTTCAAACATATACAGTTCTTTAGTTCCTTGTGTTCATTCATTCAATAGAAACCACAAAAAGTTACTTGCGCAAATACCTATTTTTGTAAACACACACACACACACACACACACACACACACACACACACACACACACACACAATTTAAACAGTTCTCCAACACATCCGACATCACTAAACCTTCAAATATAATCATATGGGGGATGATGTGTTGCATAACTGTGTGTCTGGATTCAGAGAGGATACTTTGTCTGTGTGTGTGTGTGTGTGTGTGTGTGTGTGTGTGTGTGTGTGTGTGTGTGTGTGTGTGTGTGTGTGTGTGTATGTGTGTGTGTGTGTGTATGTTTTAACATATTCAAAAGACAAGGACGTTCAGTGAAACAGGGCATCATGTTCCCTGTAATTAAATTCTAATGCTTCATCTGTTGAGATTAATTTGTTTATGATGTTTATGCCAATAAATATGTTGTTGTAATTATTTGTGACAAATCAAGGCTACAATGCATGTTGCTGAATATGAATCAAGTGGTTATGGGTAGAAAATACGGGACCGTTGTAGAATGTCAATTGGACAGAAAAGACAAAAAACCCACCATTGTAAGTCTTGTTAGTTATTTTCTGTTCCTCGTATTCTATGACACATGATCTGTCCCATTGATACAGATACAGCTATATAGAGATACACACTGACACAAAATACATCTCTTAGAAAATGATGCAGCTTTACTAGACAATAAAAGTGTGTGTTGTTGTGTGTGAAGCCAGAAATATCTCTCTGTCACACATGTTAGAGTAAAAATAGTCTTTTGGTGTGTTAGTTACCATGCTACTGCAGCTTGTTTCATGCCTCCCATTTCTCTGGTTGCTTGTAATGTTGATCTGTTATTTTAAACCTGCTTTTGGGCAGTGAGAAATAGCTGTATAAAAATGGTTGTAGTGTTGTTGTATTGGATTACATTATATTAAAAAGTACTTGCACACAGTGTATGGAGAAGCAAAATATGATTCAATACAGCAACACCACAAACTGCATGCTCAAGTTGAGTCAACAACTCCCTGACAAGGAAAGCAATGGAAATGTATACGTTTTTCTTTAAGGACAATTGCATTTGATTGATTTCTGATGTTCTGGTCACCCAGTGAAATTTATTAAAGGGGAATCCACTTATTTTCCACATCAGAGTCTGTTTACAGGTGGTACCACTGTGCAAGTAAAAAAGTATTTAGTGTCTCCTGAGTGAGCTTTGTGAGGGCTGATAAATGGTTTTGAGTGATCTTTGTTGAGTCAGTGTTTGTTGGGGCTGAAGCGTTTAGAATTGAAAACAATCTGATGGTGTGGAGTAGTGAGCTTACCAGAACTCTGTAGCCTGCTCCTCATGTGTGTTGCAGGCTACTGGGTGGCTACATTAGCAGCTACCAACATAACACACGTGAATCTCTGACTGAACTGTTGGTTGGTGTGTTGCATTGTGGATGATTTAGGAGCCAGGTTTTGACAAAGAAGAAGAATGTGTGGAATAAAAAAGACAATATCTTTGGTTCTGCCATATTGATTTTGATCCTTTCCTAAAGGAAAAAAATACTGTCCATTGTTAGTCCAACAGTGTTACAGGAGTTTGATGGTAGAGAAGGTCTTTACATTCTGCACTGAGTGGGATGCAGCACTGTACAGTA